GTTCTATTTCATGCCATCTATTTTGGTCAAGAGCAAATTCCAAGTGGAAGGCCATGTTTGGATGGAAAACATTATAGGTCACTTTTGAAGAAAAAATTGATATATTTCTAAGTGAGGAAAGTCAACCCTTTTTCTCCAACTTTGACTCAATGCAACTCTCAGCTCAATCATCCATTTGATTCCATTATTTTTCCATTGCAAAGCTTGTAACCTCATCTTTCTAAAGCATCAAGAATCATGCCCTAAGACCCCGTGAGTTGAAAATGCCATTGTTTTGAAATTGGTAGCTTGAAACTGAAGTTTCATCACAAGTCAGATTTTCAAATTTTTTTTTTTGCTTCTAATCACAATTTTTCTACGCGTTTTTTCTTCTAATCATGTTTAGCAACTTTCCAAAGGTGTTTAGCATCATGAAACACACGATTTGGTTGAGTTTTGATGCTAAACAAGTCACACTTTGTTCATGCTGCAGACCTCCCATGATTTCCCTCCAAACTTCATCATTTCACACGCTTGAGGATCCCATTCATTCTCCTATAAATAGAGGGTCATCCCCCATTCATTTCCTCAAGCTTGGATAGCCAAAATCACCCTGCCACTTGTTCCATAACCCAAATTTTTGTAACTTCGAAATCAGTGTTCAAGCCTTTTTCAATCCAATTTTTCTATCAATTTACCTTCCTTGATCTTCCCTGAAGCTAACCATACAATTACCTTCAAGAATCGTGCCCTATATTGCTCCATAGAAGTCCAGTTTCAGAGATCTGCAACTCAACTTCAATAGGTAGATTTCTCCATCAATTCTTCAAAACTTTGATATCATTGTGATGCTCTCATTGCCCTGGTTCTAGTCGCAACACTTACTTTTATCTGGAAACACGCTTTGACCATGAAATTTCAAATCCCTTTTCAAAACTTTCCTTCCAAATTACTTAAGCTACAGTTTATATAAATTTGTCGCGGAGGTGTGGTTGTCTTCGTCTTGAAGAGACGAAGCGAATGGCATAGGTCTGAACTTCTGATTTTACAGTTTGAGAGACCTGCAATTCACGTTGGCTGGAGGTTGAAGATGACCAACGTGTCATCTTCCAACCAATGAAGGCCCGCCATCTGTTTTTTTTAAATCTGATTTAATTAAGGATTCAGTGCTTTATTCACTAATGACCATGATATGCACAACGCACTAGATCCCTTTGATTTGATTACTAACGCATTTTGACTCTCATCCAATGACCCACATATTTTTGACTTTATTTTTCTTTTCTGATTTTTATATTTAATTGTTTTAAATTTCAAAAAAATCATAGAAAATTCATTTTTAGTCCAAAAAATCAGAAAAAATTATGAAAAATATTTTTGATTTTTCTCTTTATGATTTTTATTTTTTCACAATTTTATTTTGTGTTTTGATATTTTTTATAAATTTTCACTTAATTTGAATTGTTTTAAATGTTTAAAAAATACTTTTATGCATTTTTAAATTATGAAAAAATTATGGAATGATCTAATGATATTGTGATAAATATTGGTGACCTCATTTATTTTTTACTTCTGACTTTGTTAATTTTTTTATCATTTTTTGGTTTATTTTGCCCATTTCTTTTAATTGTAAAAATAGTTTCTGACTTTAAAAAATTACTAAAAATTTTATAAAAATATTTGAGTTTATTTCTGATTTTTCTATGGTCTTACTTAATATTTCTTGATTAATTTGAACATAGTTTCCTTTTTTCTCTATTATTTTCATTTTTTAATCATTTTTAAACTCTAATTCTTTTATTTTAAAATACAATTTAATTTAGTGAAAAAAATAATGGAAAAAAATGAGAGAATTACTTTCTTACACCTCTAAAAGGTGAGAAAAAATCTCAAATATCCTTTGGTCTTTCGATTATTTTCAAATGAATTTTTAATCAAGGTGTTTTGAAATGTATTTTTGAAAGTATTTAAAATTTAATTTTGGGATGATTTCGAAAATACACTTATGATATTATTAAATTTAAACATTCAGATAATTTAGGAGATGTATTTTTAAAAATATCTTGTTTAATGTGCATCCTCATATGTTTACAACGTGATGTGAATAATGATGTAACCTCGGATGATGTTAAATCAATCAATTATTATCGATATTAATTTACAAATGAGCATGATTTCAATGATTAATAATATTTTAAAATATAATTGAATCATTTTTTTGTAAGCATTATCGTGTATAATATAATCGAATTATTTCGAATATATATATATATATATATATATATATATATATATATATATATATATATATATATATATATATATATATATATATATATATATATATATATATATATATATATATATATATATATATATATATTATCGATTTATATTTTTACCGATTAAATTGTAAATTTATTTTTGAATGATATTAATTCTATTAAAATAGAATTTTGTCTCTGTATAATTTAAAAATATATTTTCAAAACTTAAAAAAATAATCAGGGAGTGTTTTTAAAAGTCGTGTATTTTTGAAAACGTCTTATTTTTGTTAAAAAATAAGGGATGTTTCGGAAGTGTATTTTCGAAATATGTCCTGATACAAGAAAAAAATTATTGACCTATTTCGAAAATGTACATCCGAATTCACCCCAAAAACTAAAATTTCATAACTTTGAAAAGACTTCTCTGAAATCATTCCAGAAAAAATGAAATTTTATAATTTTGACAACCTAACAATTTCTTCAGGAGTGTTGTCGGAGACGCTTTACACGTTCGATTTCAGCAGTCAAATACTCCTAGTTAAAGTTTACACAAATTTTTGCGTAGCTGGCGCACCTCCCCTACATTTGAATCTAGACCATCCAAGGAACGCGAGTGGTGGAGTCTGGAGACATCGACCTCAATCCGAGCGTTACTTCGGTGGTAGAGACATAGATCCTCTACCTTTGATCGGGAAATGACTCTATCTAACGCGAAGTGCATTTCAAAGAATGGCCACATATAGGCAAATCATGCCCCTCATCTGAGAGTATGATTCAAAGCATAGTCGTATATAGTCGGCCTCATACCTCATTCCTATAAATATGATTCAAAACATTGTCACATCTAGTTGGTTCCAAGCGAAATAATTATAAATGCAGTTTAAAGCATAAATGTACTTAACTGAGCTCATGTGTCACAAGTATGAATTAAACGTACAATCGTGCCAAGTCGAATGATGACTTCAATGTCACTAACGTAACTTAAAGATCGGCCGCATCAATCAACATCGTTATATTATTACTGTAAGCATATTTCAGTTATGATCACATCTAATCAGACCAACATCTTAATAATATAACACATACACCTTAATGCAACATGCTCATGAGTAAATCAGCCAAACATGACCTTAAGAACAATTTAAATTTATTTAAACTTTAAGCACGTAATGTTTATCGCTCTTGGCTGCAAACACAACGACAATCACTACTAAAACTAAAAATATAACGACCAACAAAAAACACAAAAAGAGAAAGAACAAAACAAAAACATTAATATCATCAAAGAGGAGGTGAAGAAGAATAAGACACACAAAATGAACAATAACAATGGTAATAAGAAAAGGAAGAAGAATGTATAAGGGTATCAAAGGTATGTGTACAAGGTGTTAAAACAAGTGCATCATGAAATGGGAGTTTCGTCAAAATGCATGGTGATTTTAAACAATTTTATGAATGATATGTTTGAGAGAGTAGCTAGTGAGGCTAGTAAATTAAAGGATTATACTAGAAACTGAAGATGTGAAAAACACAAGAAGGGGGGGGGGGGGGGTTGAATTGAAAACTTGGATCTAAAAACAACTTAATGACACAATATTTTTATCCTAGTTTGTTTGATCTCAAACTAATCCAGTCCACCCGTCAAGGTGATTTCGCCTCTCTCCAACGAGGTCTTAATCCACTAATCTCAAAAGATTACAACAGCTACTTTAACAACGGTTAAAGTCTTCTTGAGTACAACCACAATTCGGTTAATCTCAAGGAACTCTTTTACAATATGATTTAAATAAAATGTGTTGTTGTTTTTCTAACAAAAACAGTTTATCACAACTGTGATAATTTACACAGGTTTGTAGCTTAGAATAAAGATTGAATTTGCTTAAGCTTGAATATGCGTGGTTGGTGATCTTAGCAAATTGTTGTGTGTACGTAAGTGCTTCATTCTGCAAGCTGACTTGTTTATATAGACAATGTAATGACGTTGTCCATAAAGCAAGTTTAATGTTATTAACACACTTTCCTTTTGGAGAAGATTTTGTCTGAAGAAAGCCATTGGCATTAATTCTGTCTTGAATGTTTAGTAACGCTTCAGAGTATTTTCCTCTTTACTGCTGATGACGCTTCAGAATATTGATGACTTGGTTTAATATGTATTTGTTTAGAATCATAGTTTATATAATAAAGCGCAGGTTCTGGTCACCAATCTTCAGCGTATAATCTGATTGCTTCAGCGTGTAATATTTTATGGCTTACCTTCTGATTCTGATCCCATCAGAACTTCTGCATACATAAAACATATTTTTAAGGAGCATATTTGTTCTTTGTATTTATTTATTCTTTGTATTTGTTATCATCAAAAGTCTAACCAAGGGTTGTAGAATCAAACTATGTTCTAACAATCTCCCCCTTTTTGATGATGACAAAAACCAGATTTTTTCAATTAAAAAATAAAGAATAAAAAGTTTAGAATAAGGAAGAAAAACTCCCCCTGAGTGGATTACTTCCCTTAAGATCCTTGAGTCTTTGAACATCAGAGTTTAACTGCATCTTTTATCAGAGTTTTGTACGTGTTCAAACTTTTCAGTAGATAGAGGTTAAGTAGTTCAGAATGTTTGAGACTTTTGTCTCAGTAAACCGTTATTGAAAATATCTTAATTTCTCCCCCTTTTTGCCAGTTATCAAAAAGTCTATAAAATCAGAGCTAAAAAGTTGATTTATATTAAAAGTCTATAAGGTTGGTTGGTTGGTTAATCAATGGCTCGAAAGAGTGATAGGAAAATGGTTGTTAAATCCACTAAGAAAGTCGTTGAAGAAAGTGTTCAAGTTTCAGTTATAAGCAGCAACAAAAGATTAACACGTAGAAACAAAGATGCTGAAGCAGAAGAACAATAAAAAGATCAAGTATTAAGAGTCATTCCTGTTCATGAAGCAAAAGGAGACGATTCAACTTCAGGCACAATAACAATCTCTAGTGAAAACAAAAACAATGACCAGGAAGAACAAAACAGAAACATTAATATCATCACAGGGGAGATGAAGAAGAGCAAGACACAGAAAGGTAAGAAGAAGAGGAAGAAGAGTGTTGAAGGGTACCAAAGGTATGTGTACAAGGTGTTGAAACAAGTGCATCCTGAAATGGGAGTTTCATCGAAATGCATGGTGATTTTGAACAATTTTATGAATGATATGTTTGAGAGACTAGCTTGTGAGGATATTAAGTTGAAGGATTATACAGGAAACATGACATTTTCATCAAGGGAGATTCAAGGAGCATTTAAGCTTGTTTTTCCTGGTGAGCTTGGGAAACATGCTATTGCTGAAGGGATCAAAGCTGTGAACAACTATACAGCTTATGAATCTGCATGATGATGCTTAACTTTTTAAGAAAGTGATTATGTATAATTAATTAGGTTAAGTAAGTAGTGTTATTGTGTCTTTAGTGTGGATTTAGGTGTTTAGTATTTTGGTTGCATATTCTATTGTTAGTATAGTTTTTTAATAAACATGTTTCACAGTAATTGAAATCTTCCCTTCATTACTCAAAAAAGAAATGTTTTTTTTATCTCCAATGTTAGGTGCAATTCTATTTAGTGGAAATAATGGGAAAAAATGAGAGGATTTCTTACACCTTTTAGAGGTGAGAAAAAAATCTCTGAAAATACCCTCACTTTTTTGGAATATTTTCAAATGAATTTTAAATTAAAGTGTTTTGGAGAATTTTTTTGGAGTATTTTCAAATGAATTTTAAATTAAAGTGTTTCAGAGGTATTTTCAAAAATACGGATGAGGTCAAGAATGATGTTAAATTGATTGTTGTTGACATAGATATTGGATATCAATTTGCAAATGAACATAAATCATTTTATATATAATTGAACTTTATCAACGGAAGATAAGTATCCTATGAACCTCTCTGCTCAAGAACACATGCCCTCAGCAAATCTTCCAACGATTGAATCGTCCATTTAGTTTGACCATCTGTCTGAGGATGATACGATGAACTCAATCTCAACTTAGAGCCCAACGCTTCTTACAAACTCTTCCAAATATCAGAAATAAATCTTGGATCTCTATCTGACACAATGCACAAAGGAACACCATGCATCTTCACAATTACACTAGTGTAAATCTCAGCCAATTTCGACACTGGGAAGCTGATGTTAATAGGAATAAAATGAGCCAACTTCGTAAGCCTTTCAACAATCACCCAAATCGAATCATGTCCTCTTAAAGTATTAGGTAATCACGTCACAAAGTCCATTGAAATGCTATCCCATTTTCATTCTGGAACTTCTAACGGTTGCATCAACCCTGCAGGCTTCTGATGTTCAACTTTTGACTTCTGACAAGTCAAACATGCATACACAAACCGCGCCACATCACTCTTCATCCCAGGCCACCAAAACAAACCTTTCAGCAGAGAATGTTATTGGAGGTGCATGTTGTACTCCTGCATGAAATTTATTAGAGAAAACAAGATAAAAATCCAGACTTGGGTCGAATCTAGTCTTAGATTCGACAGCCTGTGGCTGCAATAATCCTAATTTAGACCATCTAGGTCTGAATCGAAAGCTACTTCACCTGTCTTACAACCTCATGAACTCTGAGATTCGAAAGAAAATATTGATCGTGCCCAAGCCATGGCACGATCCCAACCCCTGCGCTTAATCTTGCTTGCAACACATGAAAGCAATCACAAACATTATCAATAACATGAATGCATGATTAACGTGAATTTAAAAATTACATGCTTAGATAGTTTGAGATCGAAAATAATTTACCAACACACAGATTGTGTGAGTGATGCTCTAGTGTATATTGGGCCTGTCTAGTGCTTGGGAACGCCTCCTGCAAACTTCATGGAGTGAGTGAAGTGTTGTTAAAGATTCCTTCGATTTGGATCACTTATGAGATTTTTGATAACTTTGGTGTGGCTTATGAGGCAGCGTGTGCGTGTGAGGCAATATATGTGTGTAGTTTATGGGCGTATCTATATAGTCTATACCCTTTGGATTGTAGACATGGTGTGTATTTATAGGAGATGGGGAGAGGGTCATAGCATAGTGTGATATGGTGGGAGAAATGACTTGAGGGTTTTGCGTTTTATCACAAATGTTACGGTTAGCAAGAGTCACCACCGACTTTTCTTTTATCCAAAAGGAAAGGTGAAAAAGCACAGGAAAGACCTTTGAGATTGTTTCTTGAGTTCGGGGGGTAGATTATAAAAAGGAAAGGTGTTAGCACCCTTTTCATCCATGGTTTTCCATGGGCTATTAGTTACTTGCTAGATCACTTTCTTTTTGTTTTGAAATTGTGCTTTGTGTGGTTTTGAAAGTATTTTGTAAAAGAGGTCGTTGTTTAGGCAATCTTTGTAATGGTTCTCGTTCGTAAGAATGTATACAAAGATGTTTGTCTTTTCGAAAATGTTTTCAATGTTTGTAAGATGTTTTGAAATGTGTGTGTTTGTTTTAAAAATAGAAAGGATGATTGTTTTGAAATGGAGCAAGTAACTAGAAGTAACCTACCTACTCAAATGTCTTTCTTGTTCATTTTCTTTTACTTTGACATTGTTGTCTTACCATTGATTTGGTAAGCAACCCTATCTTTGGATGTAAACAGGACGAGCGTGGATCATCGTATAACCATGATTAGTAATGTTGCAAAGTATCTTAGCATTTTTGAGGGACCGAGATCATTTTGTAAGGAAACTTTGAATAGCGTCATCGAGGGACTATGATCTTATACTTGTTTGTTTTGCTAAGACACTTCACATGCGTAATATAGCCATTTTTGTATAAGGCAACCAAGTGGAGTAACCCTAAGGGTGCTTGTGTGCAAGTGTGTTATTTTCATGCTTGATTTTGTCTTAGATTAGGGTTTTCTATTTGATTTGTTTTGATCTTGCCATTCAAACCCTAATAACTAGCATGAAATATAAAAGCGGTAAATTGCGTAATTTAAAGATTACTACGCTATTACAACATTTTATGGGAGTATACAAATTATGAATGGGGATTTGCAATAATGTAAACCTAATTTAATCTATTACAACCAAATCGAATTTGTACAAGTATTTAAATAAATAATATACAATATAAATTAAATATGCAATGTTTATGTATATGCAAGAAAAAGAAATTTGTTTTGTTTTTTATATGAAAAAGAGTTTTTGAACCAAACCTAATAATTTAAGAAAAGGTAGTTATTTTTAGAAATTGGTTAACCCTAATTTCTAATTTGTTAAAAGAAAATAAAGTTCTTTAAGTATTATTTTTGTGTATTTTTTGTCTTAAAATATTAAATAATATTTATGAAAATATTTAGTCTTTTTATATGTCAAAATAAATATTTACAAGTATGAAGAAAAGGAATAAAAATATAGCTAAGTCTATTTTATTTTACAAGTTTATTTAAGAAAAATAGTTAGTATATAATTTAATAAAAATATTTTTTATGTGAAAATAAAATAAAATAAACAAAAATAAAATATTTAACATTTTAATATTTTTTTTATGATTTTATAATATTTAAGAAAAATAATTAATGAAGTAGACAAAAATAAAATAAATAAATGAAAATAAATTGGGCCAGGGGTGTCCTGAGTAATTAGGAGATAATGTGTGAGAAAAAAAATGAGAAGCCCAGTTGCTGAGCCCATGTTGCAAAAATGACAAAAATGAAGCTGAAAAATATGAAAAATGCAAAAGGTAGCGCCAAGGTTCGAACCCATGACCTATGCATTTCAGCGTGCTGCCTTGCCACTGGGGTGGCTGTACATCCGTTAGTTCATATGAAACTAAAAATAGATAACACAAAATGCTTCCTTGCCCTGTACTTCATCTTCTTCCTCAAGCTAGCCTGAACCTCTGTATCGTTCTTGTTTCTCCATGAAAATGGAAACTTCAAACATGAAAATGGTAGTACTCTTTCCCACGATTTCAACCATGTAACTCATGTAAACCAACAGTCAAAGATCAAAGCTAATTTCAACGGCCCTAATTTCAACCCTAATTTTTACAGAAATTTGAAATCTAAAATTCTCTATGCACAATGAATTTAAATGAAATCTATCAACATGGTTGGTTTTAGTACAAAGATATATACATTTTATCTTCACAAATCTAGACCAATAGATGCCTGTATGAAGAGATAGAAGTTAGAGTTCTTACCTCTTTCAGCTGAGATTGTGAATGGAGTTTGTGTGAGTTTTATGAAGGTCTGAAGATCCCTTTAGCTTGCTTGGACCTCCCTGAGTATGTTCCAATATTTACCTTGTCTTGAAAGTGCCTGAATCTCCCTATCCAAATCAACCTGCAAGCTTGAAAATAAAAAATGGCAGATGGAGAAGGAGGAGTTACAGTGAAGGGATGATGGTCTAGAACACTTAGATATGATGTAGGTTAATTGTTTAGGTGATTAGAACTTGAAACGCACGAGTGAATTTTTGGACTGCTATGCTTGGTAGAAAACTTCAAGTTATGGCAGGTTTTTGGTGATAGAGAGTTTGGGAGAGTTTATGGCCTTTAGAAATTGTGTGCTAGGTTTTAATATGTTTGTGTATATGTATAGAGAAGGTTTCAAATCCATTTCACAACAGATTTCTGAGTTATAGGCTTTTTGCTCTATTGCTTGCCTTTTAAGAAAAGTGAAGAGACAACTCTCTACATGCTTGTACAGGCCTGGTTTGAGTTGGTAGAAGTCATAGACACTTTGCTTTTGGTTTATAGGATTTGTGTGTGCAGAAAAACAAATGCAAGGCTCAACGAGTGAAAAGTTGCAAAAGTTATGCTTTATCAAAGTGGAAATGACACCTTTGTGCCAAAAATGGAAATGTTCATGTACAAAGCATTGAATGCTTGGCTTTAGGGCATGAAACCTTGTGCAATTCAGTAATGGTGGAGAGAAAAATGAGTTTGAGGCCTGAAAAGTGAAGATTGTACAACATGCTTGAGGATTTGAATTTTGTTCTTCATGAAATGGCTTGAAATCAAAGTGAGAAATTGTCAACTCCATCTCTTCGATTCTCCCTACTCAAAAATTATCTCAAGGAGTTCTTGGACATTTTGGAAATCTTGAAATATGCTCTATAACTCATATTTGAAATGATTTTCAAGATACCTCTTGGAACTAGGTGAAAAGTTGCCATGAAGTTAGGTCAAAAACTTGCCTAAATTAGGGCAAAATTTCACTAAGTTATTTTAGTTCATGGGCATGTATTCACAAAATTATATCTTGATATCCAAGAATATTTAGGAAAAAATGTGTGCATAAAAGTTGTAGATTTTATGGATATCTACAACTTTCATGTTAGGAACTTTCTTTGAATCATCTTGTATCATGGTGGAAATTTGGCTTAAAGTTGAGAA